ATTAATTATTTAAAATTTTCAAAGGAATGTCTCATTATTAAATTATTAGAAATCAACAGATCTAAATACTCTTTATTATTTTCCTCTTTTATAGAGTAAGTTGGTAGCTAGAAAGGCAGTGCTTTGATGTTAAACAGTTTCCTTTGCAGTTTTCTGATAATTTAAATAGCATATAGCTTAATCAATTAGTAGAAAGTACTGCTATCCTTGTGGGCTATTATCTTAGTCAACCTTCATAATCAAGACTAAAATGGATATTTTCTTATGAACAAAGTCAATACTTGCAGTCGTTAAAACAAATAGTACATAGATAATCAAGGATATTCATTATGAGTCAACCTTTTAATAATCAAATGATATTAGCAAAATTAAGTAGCTCTGATGGTTAAATTAAAAAAGCTTTCACTATTAAAAATTATAATAGTGATTAGAACTAATAAGTTTTTACTGTTGATTCTACTGGATATATTTATCTTTATACTTCCTATGCTCAGGAATCGAAGAATAGTATCATTAAATTTTAAAGCGAAGCTATTGCCGATTATTGGTAAATTGTGATCTAATATAGTTCTTAGCTTTCCTAGTTGATATTAAATGAAAAAGATAAAACACTAATTGGAGCAGGAAACATGTGGTAACCTGGTGGAGTTTGTTCATTATTTTCCTTTCAAGCAAGTGCCAACTCTCTATCAAGCTCCACAATAAAAACCAGTTTTTATACGAATCCTACTAATCTCTGCTTTTCTTTTAATACTGATGTAATGGGAGTATAATATGATGAAAACCTGGGGACAATTTATATGTTTTATTAGTATTGGGGTGCAAAAAAATCATTTTCAGGTTTTGTAGTTGAAAATGCCAATTACTTCAAACACTATCACATTTCTGATTAACTTGATTTTCAAACGATGACTTTTAAAGATAGCTATTTAAGAACAATTGTAAAAGTTCCACAAAATAATTAAATGGTCATTTATTTTGAACTTAATGAGAATACACTATAAGTTGGTTATCCTACTTAGAATATATAGCCTGATCTAGTATTTATATTAAACACTAATCCAAGATTTTCAAAGCTTATTCCGTTTCTATTTGGTCTTAATATGTATTTCTTAGGTTAAAAAACAACTTAAAATACGTATTAATCTGTAATATTTGGAGATGTAGATAATCAAAATTGCTAATCTATTTTGACAAAAGAATAAAGTAGTGGTTTTACTGAAACTTATTCAGAAAAATTGAATCTATCATCTGCTCATCCTAAATTACCTAACCCGTTTTAATTTATCACCGAAGGTTTGGGAGCACCTCAATTTGATTTCACAGCAATTAAGTTAGTTGACCAAAGAGTTTTATTGAAAGATATGGATGATTTGATTTAAGAGGATTGCGCTATCAGAGGCAAACCATCTTTAATATTCACAAATTCTAATAAATTAAATTCTAAACCTTCATACTAATGCTTTCTTGAAGATGGTTTTTGTAATTTTAACATTGGATACTACCAGCTTTAAAGCTGCCCAGATATCTATAATCTAAGCATTGATTTCTGGGATGTAAATAGTAATATAGCAATTCTATCTTTAAATGATACTAAAGTAACAAATTTAATATATAATGTAGTATTAGAAAAAACGCTAATATCAAACAATTTTATTGAAAATAAAACTACACAAATCAAAATCATTGCAAAATTTTACATAGATGATTTTCTCTATGATTTACATGATTAATTCTTATTTGATATTTATTATGGAAGCTGTACTTAATTGGTTAAGATTCTGGATGATAAATAACTTTAGCCTCAACACTTTGTAGGAGGAAAGTTATATAAAATTAGCTTATACAAACCAATTTTAAAACCAGATAATTGTGGCATTCTTGAATATGAATTTTCTCTTACAGATCATACACCACTTCCTTCATTTATGCTTCACAATAAGCTAGAAAATACTCTAGAAATAAATCTAAGAAATATTTACAAGGACGAAAGCTTAAATATACTATAGGAATATAACATAATAACATCATCAAAAAAATATAAATTGCTGTAGAGTGCAGTAATAAAAATTTATGTTTAAGATATCCCTTATCAACCAGCTCCTTATTTTATTCAGAAAATTTAAAATTAGGTTATCACTTGTGATTAAAGTATTAGCTTTAAGCTTCCTGAAATAGAATACTATGATTAAAATGCTGTATAAATTATTATATTAAAGAGCACAGGATAGTGGCTAACTTAAATCTAGTTAAATGATAATTTCATCATTTTAACTCCTCAATGCTTATAATATGGAATATTTGATATCAAACTAATTATATAAGATAAATATAATCTGAGGCTATTCAATCAATATTAGTTTAAAGTGAATATAATGAAAATGTTTGAGGTACCTACTAGTGGTATTTTTTCTGATAATGGGAAAAAAAATTCTTCACTTACAGAAAAAAATAAGTCAGATTAGAGTTTAGAATACTTAAAAGCTAAAATAAAAAGAATAACTAACATGGGTGAAGTTTTAATCGTTTTCAGTAAGTACATAAACAGTGCTCCAAATTACCAAAATGTTCTATGAAGTACTCTAGTCATAAATTTAATATAAGATAGAAAAGATAGATAAAAATTAAATTATGAGATTATTACCCTTTTTAATAACTAGCTTGATATTTAGCTTGATCTTGGCTCATTAGCTAATTAAATATCTTAAAAAAGTGTAATTACAATACTTTAATTTTAGTATTAGATTGACAAAATAGAAATAAAGTTCACCACTGGTAATCTATATTAATCGCAAAAAAATTAAAGAGTCCATTTAGAAAACAATTATGTAATAGAGGGAAAGATTCCGCCCTAATTAGATTAAGGTAATTTAATTGATTTGGAATAAGAATAATTATTTTATAACTTTAGGTGATTTGAACTGGTAAAACGGAATTTCAATTACTGTTAAATTATCAATTGCGTTGATAATAGGCACTAATCTTTTAACAAATTTATTCCTGTAATATTCGATTCATAATTCTTCATATTTTCAAAGTATTTTAGAGGTTATGGACTTCAATATTTGTGGAATATGATAAGTGATTTGCAGATATTT